CAAAAGTGACTCAAATAGTACTAATGTTCCATCATCTAAAAAACAGACAGCTGGCTATTTCTGATAGTTTATTGTGAATATAGAAAATAATACGCAAAATGACTAGAACATGACATCTCAGTAGCTGACTTTGCTTTTCAAAATTCCATGGAAAACTGACCAAAAAACAAGAAGCATACTTTTGTTTTACAAATTTCTAGACTTAAAAAAGGAGAGGGGGGGGAGTTCAGTTCAGGTCTCTTATAGATAGATAAGCATAAAAACATGAAATATAAATTTCAGTCATACTGCTTTATTTTTATACTAGTGCTTACATAAATTCTGATATAAATATCAAAATAATAAAACTACTCCATACATCTAGGCTCAGAGGTACATCGAGGTTCAAGTTAACAAAGTCAAGGTTTAAACTAATTCCTTGTACTTGAAGAATATTTATGTTTCTAACATAAAAAATATTATTTAGAACATTTAAAATTTCAAAAATTAAAAAAAAAAAAGCCTTACAAGTTTGGTAATAAAACGCAGTCAAAGCCAAAATCAACTTTCCATCTTTCCTCACAACAAATTATTAGATTTAAACCATGGTGATTTCATTTATTCGTCAGTGAAAATGACACAGTGCTGATATACATATATTAAAATAATGATGGTTCAGACTTTTAATAATAAAGCAAGTTAATTTTGAAAGAAGAAAAATACTCAAGGGAATGTGATTAGAAAAAAAATTTCTCTCTTAGCCACATATATGACCTGTACTGTCAAAAAGATTTGGGAGTGTTGACCTAGAATTTACATTACTTTCACAACTCCAAGATTACATGTTAGCAAAGCTAAATGGTGTCAATTACCTGCTACTCTAACATGGAATGTTTAATTTACAAGTTCCTAAAAGAATTTTAAAAGTCCAAAGAAAACAAATGATTAGGTTAAAGTTTAGTAAATCCTTGATGAATTACAGAGATATTCTCCTCTTAAGGAAATAAACTTTTAAAATGATGATATTTAAACCTTAACATAAGCAAAGTACTAATTGAGGAGAATCAGTATTGTTAAAAGTGTGCTGGTCATATCTGCCGCTGTATTATTTAACTATTGCATTAATAATGACAACCAGTAGGAAACATGTTTAATCCATCTTATAGTATAATTTTGGCAAATAGTCAAAAGAATCCAAGAAGAACTTTCAATACGCACATAGTGTTTAAAAGAATATTCTTATTGGAAGCACCAAACTGTTTATGGCATGTTTCAGATTAAGAGACATGCTCTTAATATTAAGTCATGTCTTTTTTATAATCATAGCTACTAAGGGAGAATGTAAATCAAGCTTTATTACTGAAAGTCTTTTTTTAAAGTTACTTAAAAGCTTTTTACATCCTCAAAGAAATTAAGTACAAATAGTTATATTCTTCTTGATGTGAATTTTGATTATGTAAAGTTACTTAGTAGCATTCCAGCTTAGAATTCTGCATAACACTAAAAGGATCATTTTATTATTCACACTTTAAGGCAAACTGGCAAATTTTCAAATCTTAGAGATACAGAAGATGCAGATAGGCAAATATTACCCTATATTTCTATTCAAACTGATACTTCTCAGTTGCTATTTCACAAATTTGTGCCAATTCAACACATAAAATCAGTTTGGTCCACTACCCAATAAATCCTGTCAACTAAAACGTTGTCAGCATTTGAAAACTGAATAGCCACTTCCCAGAAGTGAATATCTAGGAACACAGATTCTAACAGCAAAACTATTCTGACAGCAAATAAATTTAATCTTTGTCTGTGAAACTAGATCTACAGATGCTTAGGGTATCAATGAAGAGGTAGTAAGGAAACTCCATGTAGCAGACAAACTCCTATCAGCTACACAAGTTACTTGTAATACAAGTTACCCAGTAAGATATTGTTAATATTTGTGATCAAGATATATTTAATTCTAATTTTGCCTAAACATAATTTCTAATGGAATCTATTCATAACACTAAAATAGATCTACTTCATTTATACACAGTATCCATTACTATCAATTTAATGTGCCCACTGAACTTTTCTAATAGAAAAATAAAAAATCTAAGTTGCAATCAAAGCCTTCTACTTTTTTCAAAAGATAGAAGTCTTCTAATTATATCACTAGTTTAGCAAAATCTTGACAGGTTCTATATAAAGCCAAAGGATATGGTTAGCTTATTTTTTAAAATAACACATATAAAAGGAAATGTGCAACATTGAATTTATAAACTTTAATAAACTCATGCAAACTTTCCAAATACTTTCTCATTATCATTTGTGATAAACTGCTAGTTTTTATTTTTAAATAACTTATTTTGCAATTGGCGTGTTTTAAATTATATCCAAGTTGACTTTTCTTAATGCATCAAAAAAAGCAACATCATATTCAATACGTCAGAGATAAAACTGCCTACTTTTAAAATATTATTTTAAAAAATAAGTCTTATTGTGATAACATACCAATACAAAGGCATCTATCTATAAACCTCTAAGGATACTAAACGTTAGGGCTGAATCTCTTGGGGTTGAGGGGGTACATCATTCTTTTGGACATGATCAAACTGATAATGATCAAATAGAAAGGTCTTTTCACAAACCTCAAATCAGAATACCGATTTGAAAATACTCTTGGTATTTTAACATTCTACAGATTAACTTTGGGCAGGTTCAAAGCCTCCATGGCATCCTGAGCAGAAGAGTTTTTTACGGGCAGGGCAGATCTATTAAAAAACATGACCTGTGACAAAAATCAATGTGCTAATCTCAAATCAAACAACAGTATCAAAAGCATAAAACAGAGATAACCTAAGATAAAATGTCCTCAAACTAACTCAGACTAGCTTGACAGGTTATGAAGGGGTGTTAGAGTGGGGGGTTGCTGGTTCTTTGCTGTCTGAACCCAGGGAGACTGGAACACCCAAGTATACAAATAAATGACTACGACAAGAAAAAGATCACAGCGTGAAGTTTGTAGTGGGAAAGAAAAGATAACCAAGATAAAATGTCCCGATTTCACTGCTGCCTTATTTAATAAGGTGCTAAAGTTTGGAAATATACATTTCTCTTTCGTATATGCTGTCTAATAAAGCCCAAACGGGAATAAAACCAACTAAGATAATGAGACTTGCTTTTAACACCATCACAACTGGAAAGCTTGCTCTATTTGTCTTGTCAGCTTTAATAAAAGGCATCTCCTCTGGCAGGATGGCTTCTCTTTCTCTTTTCCTAATAGTGGTAAGTGGCATGTCAAAGAAGAAATAGCTTTCCATTCCACTACCTACCTCCATGAGACTTTTTTTTTTAAACCAAACTTTCAAGGGTATCTTCACTTCTGCTGGGCGTTGCACTTAAGGCTTGGGCTACCTGAGTGTGACTATCCTGGGTTAGCAGGATGGGGGGAATTCTCTCCTGGTTCTGCAACTGCGGGACTGCTTGTGGGGGGAAATCCGCCCATCCTCATCTGAGCTGACATTACTCAAGCGGGAAATCCCTCTCGCCTGCACACCGAGGGAAGGCTGGAGGCCGGAGGAGAGGGCCCGCGGGAGATGGAAAGAATGAAGGCGCCCACCAAGCCCCACTCCCCAGGGGCGCAGGGCGCGCAGCACCCCCAGACTCACCCCTCGGCCTCCCGCCTCTCAACTCCCAAATTCCACTCTAGCGATGACAAAATCTGTGATTTTAGATACAATCGGTACTATTTCCCTCCTAGGCGGGCACCGAGACCAGCACACAGCTGGAAGCTGGCATCTGTCCCGGAGAAGCAGAGCGATGCAGGCCCAGCGGAGCCGATTTCTGCACCCAGGCCGGGGAGAAAGTCGGGTTCGGGACTGTTCAAAGCCGGGAGAGTCCCGCCTGGCGCTCGGGATAACCTCCCCACCCCACGTCCAGGGTCCAGGAACCCGGGAGGTCTGGGGCTGGCCAGGGTCCACCACGCGCGACAGGTCGGCCCCCGGCGCCCACCTCCGGCCTCCAGCGTCCCGGGCAGGCTTCGGGGCCGCCTGCAAAACGATTCCAGGTAACGGAGCGCGTCCCTCCGGCTGCACACCGCCAGGCCGCGGGTGAAGGGCTCCCACCTCCCGGCTCGGCCAACTCCAGCGGCTTGTTCCGCACACATGACGTAACCCGGCATTAGATCAAACTTTCTGGCACCTTGAACCCTCTTGGGTGGGGGCGGGAGGTTGCAGGAGGTGGGAGAATCCTCTTCACTGCCAAGCGCGCCGGGCCCAGACTGACTCGGGGCCGAATGATTTCCTCGCAGTTAAAGAGGGAAATAAAAACCTAAAGCTTCCGCTTCCCAGCCCCCCTCACTTCCCCTAGCCCGTGCGCTCTCTCTGCGCGCACCGGGGAAAGAGAAGGAAAAAATTAAATTCCGAAAAACCCAAACCCAAAAAACTTTGGAGGATGTTTAGCAGGTTCTCCCCGCGGTCCCTGCGGATCCACGCTCCTAGCCGTAGCTCTCCGCGGCGCGCGCCGAGGGCTCTCCGCGCCCAAGCCCGCGCCGGGATCCGGACGCCGGCCAGCCCGCCGGGGCTGCGAAGCGGACGAGTCCCGACCCCTCGGCTCCCGCCCTTTTCCGAGTCTCCCCGCGCCCCGCGGAAGCCGCCGGTCTGGGGAGCCCTGAGGACCCCCAGGGGCACCCGGCCTTTCC